TTATATAATTCTTCTTGAATTAAGAGCGACTTGATCATTGAACATCATCTGGTGAGGATGACATCTTATTAATCTTTGCCTTAGCTTTTTTGACTACGGCATGTGTAATGGCACTCCAGGTTTGTTTAGTACCTGCTTTGTGCGTGGCAGTCAAGATTACTCTTGCATCTGTCTTTAATTCTGACGCCTTTGCAAAGATGCGGTGACGTGCAGTTGCGCAAGCTACTTCAATGGTAGGTATGCCTAATTCCCAGGAAACTTGTGCATAGTTGACCTTTGCATGTTTCCTTGGGATTTCCAGAACCATTCTCAGGGCCCGGTTAATCTCTTCTTGAATCGGCGCAGTGCGCTCCTTGTTCATTCCAAACCATTCTCCACCGTACAACTCGGTTGGGATGACATAGGTTTTCATCAAGAAGATTTTTTCAGTGATAGGCTTGCGCCTATCTGTGAGGACGCAGGTAAACTGGTTGACTCTTTGCCTCACCTTTGCAGCTACAGTCCGGGCATATATGGTTTCCTCATCATAACCTATTCCCAAGGAGTCACCAATAGGGATTCCGAGGTATACGTATGATCTTTCCGCATATACTTTTCCGTCTGTAAGGGAGAAATGTCTTTTCTCGACTTCTCCGTCTAATGGTGTAGGAGCTCCGTACGTTTTGTAGAAGAGTTCCCTTTGGAGGGGGTCCTCCTCACCGTACATCACAACTGCACATTTAGCGTGCCCAATTTTCAGGGTTTGCCATTTGATCACCCATTCAGAAATGATTCGACAACCTTCCTCGAGATCCTCAATAGAGTCAAAGAATGCTGTGGCATCATCTGCGTACAACTTTCCTTTATCCGTGAAGTTCCCTCCAGCTGTCTTGATCCCAGGTACTACGACTCCGGGCAACTTTTTGAACAGGTCATTTATAAAAATGATGAATAGAAGAGGGGAAAGGGGGCAACCCTCCTTTGTGCCAACTTCCATGGAGTAGCTTGGTGAGAGCTCATCTCCTGTACGGATTCTGAACTCGCTATTTTCATAAGCAGCGTTCAAGAAACCAATGACATTTTCGGGAATCCCAAGATGTCTGAGCTTTTTCCATAGTGCTTCATGTGGCACGCTGGGAAATGCTTTTTGAAAATCGATGAAGAGTGCATATGTCTTTTTACCAACATTTGCTCTTCTACGAACAACTTCTGTTAAACAGATGAATTGTGAAATCCCTTCTTCATTTCTCCTAAAACCACCTTGATCCTCGGAGAAGAAATCCTTTTCATTAAGAATACGGCTCATTCGATCCTCCAAGATGGTCATAGTCAATTTGTTAAAGGCAGTCGAGAGTGTTATACCTCTTCAATTGGTTAATTGAACCGGATCTTTATTCGGTTTGGATAATGAGACAACCACATTTTTATTATCAGCCGCGGCCGGGCGGCCCATTTCTAGCGACTTGTTAATAATTAGCAATGCGTATTGTCCTGCAGGCGTCACCAACTGAGAATAGATGTCTTTAATAGGCACCGGGTGGTAGACATGATCCAAAGGTTGGTAGAAAGTACCCGCCTTGGTCTTGACCTGCTCTAATTTTCCAGACGTGACCTTGACCGGGACAAGCAGATTTTGTGCGTCCCATTTCCATGAGACAACGCCATCTGGACCTCGGTAGATCTCCGCCAGACTCTCAGTGTTTGAGAATAATTTCTTAAGAAGAGTTTTCCGCGTGAGTTTGGGTGAAGTATGTTGGTCAAGCGCCGCATTTAGCATCCCAACAAACTGTCCTCGCTCATGCTTCAAGATCTCCTTGAAGAGGCTTGGGGGGAGGTTATCGTTACCACAAGCTGCATTAGGGTTCAGTCTGCTGCAAGCTGACAAAAAATCCTGTGGGCTGACTTCAGACCCAATAATTCCGCAATCAAGAGGTTCATCCTCACAAGTGAGGTTCTCCCAAAAGACGGGGTCCTTGGAAACTTTTGTAGAATCCAAAGCTAATCGACTAAAGTGTTCATACTCTGCATGGTTGATGTCACTTTCAGTCACACATAATGTCCCTTTTGCATTCATGCATGGGATTGGTTGGCTTTTACGCTTCCCAAAATGATCAGGTAATCTACGCTTGATTTCCTTGTGGTATTCAAGCATGTCATGACCTCTTAGTAGCTCGACGGCTTTTTGCTGGGTTTGAGCTTTTTGCTCTTTCTCAAACTTGCGGATAGCCACCGAAGCACGTCGGGAGGCTTCCTCAGCAATTCTAGCGCGTCTAATCAGTTCGGAGACTGGAGTAGCTACCTTATTGACTTGAAGATATTTATCTTTAGCTTTTCGAGCTGCACTCAAAAGTCTAGCAATCTGACGGGGGTAGTGAGACTTGCGTCCTACTGCACCAGTCTTAAGAATGCCAATGTCTTCTGCTGCTTTCTCAAGGCACTGTTGATAATTATCCCGCATCTCATCTAATTCACTTGTTTCGTTGAAACCCTCCCAAGCATCATTAACTAGAAGCTCGAAGGAGTTTCCCTTCAACAAGTTTTTGTCCCAAAATTTCTTTGGGGACTTAATCGACTCGGAACGTGAGTTCTTTGTCCGCAGTTTCATCCAAATTGCTGCATGATCAGAAAGTCCATTATAAGATAATGACATCTCTCTCTGTACCTTGACATTAGATGTCAAGTCACGTAAAGAGGACGAGATTACCCAATGATCTATTCCATTGCGTTTTCCTTTTCGGGGAAGACACGTTAAGTGTGAACCAGTACAAGGCTTTACGGTCATCTGACCATTGGTTTTACGCATTGCCAGCGTACTAAGAACACTTTTTGCCATATTGAAGTCGCCTCCTATAGCAATTTTACATTCTGGGTCTTTGTCCAAGAGTTTGTTAACAATCTCCCAGACTGGCAAGAGCTGAGTTTTCCTCATCCTGCCGTGGTTAGACCCAGACTGAAGATACACCCCAAAGATATGCCAAGCTGACTTATCGTCGAGTCCGGTGACTACTAGATGCATGATGTTCGGAACACCGGTTGGCTTCTCGTAAGCGCCAATACCGTCTCTTACCATCATACAAAGCCCCCGGAACCCAGGTTTAGCTGGGTGAGTATATGAACGGAAGTTTTTAATTTTCGGTTCGTAATTCTCTACTTTACGTAGATGTTCCCCTAGCACTATAACTGCCGCGTTTGAGCGGTTGGCAAGGCTCTCTAATGCCATGCTTTTGTAATTAAAGCCATTAGAGTTCCAAGCAACTAGTGCAGGGTCACGATAATCAACGCGTGGTTCACAAGCTGGAGCCAGTGGTCTAGGTGCAACTGCGTCTCTCCAGTCCTTGGCAAGACAAACTCGCCAAGCCTTCACAGAGAAACAGTCAGACTTAGGCTGACCCTCAACCCAAAATGCTCGAGTCTTGCGGGACATCAAGGTGCACGTTTGTGACTTCCTATTTTTGTAGGTAAGTTCTAAGAATGGTGCCAGACCGTTGGCCAAGTCTGGGGAAACCCAGACATTATACCTAAGTCTATGAAAGGGCTGACGCACTTTCAGCACTGCGCGGACATTTTCAGTCTGAGCAATATCAAGGCGGGCTTTGAGAAATGTCCAGATATCAACGGGAGTAATATCCGAAGTCACATTGTGAACCCCAAATAAAACAGCGTCTTTAAGCAAGTTCTTTGCTTTAATCTGGTTAGATCCCTTCCCAAAAGTAATGTCACACTCCCTCAGCCAGTTGTATGTACGAGTTGCTTCTGGAGTAATCCGTACATTTGTGACCGGGTTGGTGAAAGGAAGAAGGTTCATAGGTAACTTCTCCTGTTGATCGACAGGTGTGACCTGTCTACTGTTAGACTTTACGTTGACAGTGTTAATGTGTATGTGGTGACCCAAAGCTGGTGCCTGCATACTTGGTGCCGAAGACTCTGAGGCACTTGCGGACATGAATTGTTCATCATCAACATTACTGTGATTGGAACTTGATGGTTCATTAGAAGAACTGCCAAATGGAATATAGCTTGATCCGGCCGATTTGGAGCAATCAGAGTCTGAACTAATTACTTGAACAGAATCCGACCCTATCGACTGCACACTTGGTGACCCAATGTTCGGAACGCGTCCTGAGTGTTCAAAGAGAGAATCCTCTGGCTCTTGCGAGTCGGAGTCCTCTTCCTCAGAGACCACACAGAACTTGCCAATTCGCCCAGAAGTAGTTAAGCCTTTTGGAATGAGAGGTATAACCATCTCATCGGAAGCCGTTACTTTGGATACTTTGGATGGCGCCGCACAGTAAACTGTGTTAGGCATAATCGGAGGACAAGTAAAGGTGAACGGAATAGGGTTTTGGCCCTGTGTTTCCGCTCGATACTGTTCCTCTAGTCTGATTCTTTTGTGAGAAGGACCAGCATTAATCACTTCTATAAGTTTTCGCTTATTCGAAGTCAAGGCGGTTTGGTGACGACCCTTCTTTGCTAAAGAGGGGAGGTACTCGCCGTAAGGGTCCCGTTTTGAAGGCTTGCGCTTTCCAATAACAGGATCACAGTAAAAGCTGGAAACTTTGACTGTCTTTGCATTAGTGGAACTAGTAATATTCTCCGATGGCGAATCCCGTCCAGTACAATCCGCATCTGACGTGGAACTAGTAATGGCCCCAGATGATGAACCCCGTCCAGAACAATTCACATCTGCCTCTAAGGAAACCGAGGAAACCCTATTAACCATAGAGCTCGAGGAGCACTCTACGTATCCTTCCCTGCAGGACATGGCCGTCTCCACATTGTGGCAACGAACCGACGGAACTTTATTAATATGGTTTGTCATTTTTCATTTAGAGGTTTGTCTTTCCGGCAACAGCCGTTGAAGTCATTAGATTTACTACATGCATACTGGGCAAGAGTATGTAATTTTCAACCAACAACAGCTAACAAGCTCTTGAGACTTAGAGTCACGTGAATTTCTCCACTCCCTTCGCACATGATCGGGAAAGAACTCCAAGCGTTCACGCATGTTAATCTTTTGCTAT